AATTAGTCCTCTCTCCCCTCCTCTATCTCTAGATACGCAGAGTTTCTAGACCGGCTGAAGCACGTCTAAAAATTACTAGAAATTCCACAATTTATACAGTGATATGGATTTCATGTTTCTATTGAATCCCTTATTTTGAAGTCTAGCTAAATAATCGAGTTTGATTTTAAACGTTTTCGGGGATCCGGGCAGAACTCAGGATATAGTACTTGAGTACATTTGCATTCAAAATAATTCAAAATTCAAAATTGCAAATATCATGGAAGTTGATTGCAATTATGTTCGATGATCGTCAACATGAAAGAACAATATGTCTGAATAATTAGCTATTAAACATCTTTATCAAAACTTTCCTACACTTTTAAATGTTGATCTTGTCAAAGAGTACTCTCCATCTGAGATTCAGATGTAGATCGAAAATCAAATTGATTTCAAAGGTATTTATAGATGGTTTACATGAGGGGTTCTGTCCATGGTGTATTCCTTTCATAACAAAGAGTTGTTTTGCTTCCGGGGTCCTAAATTATTCAATTTTAAATAGTAACTAATAAGATTAAACAGATCAAAAAGACTCGGGGCACTGCCGTCGCCCCATCATGATCAATACAGGTGACAATAAGCGACACATGTTTCATCGTCATGATAGTAAACCATGACATCTCAAATCTTCCCAGCCCTTGATTTTTGAGATCTTTCATCCCAGCTCATATTTCATCTAATTGGGGTCATAAAACTTGTGTAACTGTGCCTGTTGCATCCTCGCTGGAAGGGTATTTTACAAGTATAAATGAAGTCCTTTGAAGAAGGATGTGCCTGTTGTTAAATACATGTACAATGCCTTACTACATTATGTAATGTATTGACATTAAGGTAGATGATTACATGATAACAATCACACTTATTGACATTCATAACTCTTCCCATCTGATATGCTCAGATCACAGAATATGCCTCATTATATCAGAGCATGTTCCAGGCGTTTCAGACCCATAGCCAGGATTTGCCAAGGGGTGGGTTACTTTTTTAAGAAATTCCAGGGGGAGTTTACTTTTGGCAATGTTAGTTCAAAAATGAGCAAAATAATTTAAAAGGTGCTCAGTATGGGGTAAAAAATGCAATTTTGGTCACGGAGGGGGGGGGGGGGTCGCTAGAACCAATCTATCCCCCCTGTATTCGGGCCTGCATGTGCTATCTACATATTTGACAATTTGATTGACACGGTTCAAAGTGGACTTTGTTAATTATTCAAACTGTTTTAATATCTAGGAATATGCGTCCAAGTTAAAATCACTCGAAATCAGGGTAGATAAACCTAAGAAAAACACATTTCTTGTTTTCATTTGATCTTTAACATGATCCTGTAAAAATGTCAGATTTAGCAAAATACATAGGCGATCTCCATCTGCACACATCTAATCATTTCGACTAAGCTATTGCCTATACTTACACGCACACGCATACTTTTAAATTAATTTTATTTTGATAATGATTTAAAAAACACAAATTATTATTAACACGAAATTAAAATGATTGTTATATTCCAATCCTAGTAAAGTATAATTAAGCGCGACTATAGGGCATAACAACATGTGGCCGGTCTAATTATACTGTTTGTTTTGATAAGGCTGTGCAAAGAGATATCAAAACTCTTGACACGCTCTTTACACGCGAGGTCTTTGCACCTCTTGACACGTCTTGGAATCTCTAGATACGCGGAGTTCCTAGACTATCTTTGCACGTCTAGAAATTGCTTGGAATTTCACATTTGACGCAGTGTAAAGGCTAAACTAAATTGGCAAAAAGAATATTATTATGTTCTTGTGATGGCTTTAGCAATATGTAATAAACTGGACAGGAGGCCCAAGGGAAAGAATTTATTACAAATGAACAAACTCAACTAATTGACGCAAGCCAAATAAAGATGGGAACCAAGTTGGGCCAAATTCAATATATAGAGTCCTCCCTAAGGGAAAAGAACTACTGTAACAATGTAATGAACAGACTACACAAAGTAGTTATAAAACCAAATAAAGACTCGGCGAGTTTGTACCAATATTCAATGGCCTATGTTGGAATCCTATAAAGGAATTTTCAGTCACAGTCCCTGTCTCACACTTAATTACTTCTGAATAGCTTAGGTTTAATTGCGTAAAAAACGGGATAACTGGGTAGCTGGGTAGCTGGGTAACTGGGTGCCTAACATTCATAGGAGGGTTTAGAATTCAATTTTTTTTATTTCAAGATGCATCTATATTTTGTGTTTGGCTGCTTTATTCACTGTTTGGTTGCTTAGTTGGTTTGGTTTGATTGGTCTGTCAATTGCTTAATAGTTATTTGATTGGTTGCTTTGTTGATCAGATAAATGATTAAGTTAGCTTGTTGTCCTGTTGCTTGATTGCTTTGCTAGTAGGATGATTGATTAATTGGTTGATTGATCAGTTGGTTGGGTGATTGGTTAACTTGATTGATTCATTGGTTGATTGATCAGTTGGGTGGGTGATTGGTTAACTTGATTGATTCATTGGTTGATTGATCAGTTGGGTGGGTGATTGGTTAACTTGATTGATTCATTGGTTGATTGATCAGTTGGTTGGGTGATTGGTTGGCTGGTTGGTTGGTTAGGCTCTTGGTTGATTTGTCATTTGCTTGATCAGCTTTTATTGTCTTGTTGCTTGTTTTGTTGATTTTAATGAGTTTGTTCAGTGATTTATCAGTCACTTGCTTGGTGACAAAAGTGCAACATTGTATTGAAAAATACAAACATTATACGAGTCCTAACATATAACCTTATAATGGCTTGATGCAAATAGAATCAAACACAGCAAAACAAATGTACTTGCGCTTGTAGTTATATCAAATTAATAACACAAGGAATATAACAATCTTTCAAATTATCTTCTACAAGACAGGGGTTCTAGTTGATTACTAGTACTCAGATTTCTTGACAATTTATTTACGGTGAAGGTGTATTTTGGAACATTTTGATGCAATTCTCATAGTTATAATTCTCATGTTATTTTTCAAATATGGACTCCCCCTTCCCCAAATTGTCTACATCTTTCAGTTTTGCATAAGGAGTATACTAATGTACCTAGAAAAGAGTGTGGAGAATTTTGTATGAAAAAAGAAAAAAGTCAGTGACCTACTTTTAAAAATACAGTAGTAATAAGTAGGGCACTTTGTGTTTTGATTTTTTATACATCTTATAAAATATTACTTTCACTATTTTCTAGGTACTTTGGTGCACTTTGTGCAAATGTGAAAGATGTAGACCAGATATACGGATATGAAACAAGTTATTCATTCCTGAAAATAACATGTGATTCAACATTACCCCACAGATCAACGTTACACCCCTTTGCCCTCAATCTACAGCTGACTGCAGTACTGGGGTAGTCTAGATGCGTGAGTCATGACGAAGGATCAAGAGGTCATGATGGCAATTTCAGAAAAACATATGGATATTTTCAAAAAAAATAATACTCGGATTCATCTTTATCATGATTATCCAGTTTTGGCAGTCATACAGGCTCGAGTTCACATCCTAAATGATATAGAAAAAACAGTTCATACCTCAATCTTTCTATTCTGGCCAGATAATATACATTAAGGTTCAGCTGGAAAGTAACATTTTGGTAAAAAATTGCTATACCTTCACATGTTATTTTCTGGTACAAAATTAAGTATGAAGGCATGTGTATATTTCCTTGCTTTTTTAGGAAAGTATCATTACACTGTCTTCTTTTAGAATATCTAGAAACAGGTCAATGGTAGCTCCTGTGTTGTCTGGAAACTTTGCAAGAAAATTTGGAAAATAGAAAGTGTGAAATATCAGAATTTCCTGGAGGTCCCATTGAACGCCTACCAGATATTCTAAAAGAAGACAATGTAATGATACTTTCCTGAAAAAAGCAAGAAAATTGACACATGCCTTCATACTTTATTTTGTACCAGAAAATAACATGTGCAGGTATAGCAATTTATTACCAAAATGTTACTTTCCAGCTGTACCTTAAGACAATCGTAAAATTCGTTTTCTACAGTAAAATTTTAAATGTTTGTGAGTACTTTAAATTTAAAAAATAAGCAATTAAATGACCACACTGAAACAGTTTATGTAAAAATAGAAACATTTATATTTATCCCAACTTTTGTATATTTTAGTTTGTTTTGTACTTTAGCTATCATATCTGTGTCCTCTTATATTTTGATACTTCTCTGCCATGTTATTTTCGGAAAAATTAACATGGCTGAAACTTCCTAAATTACAAAAGGCCACAGCTTTGCTGCACATTATACATTACTATCTGAAATATACAAAAGTTGGGATAAATATAAATGTTTCTATTTTTACATAAACTGTTTCAATATGGTCATTTGATTGCTTATTTTTTAAATTCAAAGTAGTCACAAACATTTCTGTTTTGACTGTAGATGCGGAGCGCCTTATTTTGCTATTGGACAAATCAGATTGCGCAACTCATACAACACGCATGTGCAGTAGCCATGAAAATATAAAAGGGGAATTCTACCTTCATAATCTGGTGAATATAATCAGCTAATATGAGGACTTTCACTCAATCACTGAAATGTACAAAAAGTTTGTGAAAAGAAAGAATAATTCCTCATATGTTTAAAGAACTTACCATACATTTGGACCCTTCAGAATATCAGTTGCGTCTCTCGATTTAAACTTCTGTTTGGATATCTGCCAAGCGCAATAAAGGCAAACAAGCAATAAATCTTAGATTTATTTTAATTTTGACACTAAACCGGAAACGCACCTGCAATATTTACTTATTACGGACTGAATATAATTCTTGAAAATAAACTCAAAGGATTGAAACCAAAAAATAAGTCAAATACTATTTTCTCAACAAAACTCAGAATCGTCTCAAAATCGTCTAATTTAAATTTGTAAATTTGTCCAACGAGTTGTATTCCCTGTGTCACTTCTTGTCTAACCAATCAGATGCCCAGAAATGATTTGTGTCATTCGCCATTTTCCCACGTTGAATCCATCTGGAAATATTTGGCGCATAAAACTTATAAAATATGGCTCATTTTGAAGCCCCAGATATCCAGGATAATACCACTGGTTGGGGTCCTAGTGAAGTACCAGAGCAATTCAAAGATATGCCATATCAGCCTTACTCTAAAGGAGATAGGCTTGGAAAAGTGAGTGAAATTTTCCCGGATTTTTTTTTTTCATTTTCGCCGATGATTTTTGACATTTTCATTCATTCATAAATTTGCTCTTTGCGAAATTGATACATGAATTAAAATCTTCATTTGCTGGAATACTTTGCCAGGTACGTTTGGCATTTCATTTTGATTATTTTTATAGATTATTTTATGAGGCCCCAGAAACAGAATTGTTTGTTTCCTTTTATGCGCTATAGTATAGTCTAATGCCGCTACTCCTTGTTACATGTTAAAAGTGGCAAGAACTGAACTTAACATATGAGTGTTACCTGATGAATGGGACCCTCAGGTGCCTTCCAAATGGTAGTAAACGAACTCCATACAATGTAACTACATTAGCTTATCTACGAAATGTAATGTTATATTGCCAAACACTTGTGAAAATGGAATGTTTGTTCGTTCATTTTACGAGAGCTAAATGAAATGTTAACATCCCGAGCATCGAACAAACATTCCATTTTCACAAATGTTCAGTAATATAACGTATCATAACTTCCGGAAATGACAAGCCAGTGGAACATTTTTGGGAATTTTTACAGTTCGTTTACATTTCTTTGTGTTTTCCCTGAGGATAATCCTAGTCTATATCCAATAGACTGAATTTCCTGAGAATTCAGTCTATTGATCATTATGTCTCTCCTGTGGGAAAAACAGGAAATTTCCTGCACACAATTATCAATTTTAGGAAACTTCACTTCCAAAAAATAAGCATGATAACAATTCAATTAAGTAGTAAGGTACAATTAAATGCTATAAAAAGTAACACAGCATATTGTCAAATGGAAATAAAGCTAGGAGAAGTAACAAATATGCAAATTAATTTACCCAGTCTGCCATTTTGAATGGCACTTCCTATGTAAACAAATAATTTTCAATCCCATATATTAACATATGTGGGCTATAGTCTGAATATTTTCATTCCAAATTTCAAAAAAATTTCAGACTAAGAGGATATAGTCTAAGGATAATCCTATCTACTTTGGGTACAGCTCAAGCTTTCCAGTTCTTTTGAATTCTTATTCCTTTAATCACAGTATTCAGTCTCTGTTTTATATGTTTCTGCTCTAAATGATGATTGCTGTGTACATGGATTCAACCTGAATTGCTATTTTCTTGCGATTACAGATATCTGATTGGACTGGAGGAACCAACCAGGACCGAAGATATTTGAGTGAGTTGACTTTATACCAATATTGTTGCACTAATGCACAAAGGTTTTTTAGTTACTAATGTTGTTTTAGCTATTTTAATCATATGATGAAAACCCAATATTATTATGCAAACAGCCTACATGTAAAAACCTCGCTAAAAGGGTAATAATATAACTACTTATTTTACTTGACTGTCCTAATTGTAGAATAATGATTTTTTAGATAAATATGCCTCCCAGTTTGGTGCAGGAGGAGGCCAGTATGCCTACTATCATGATGAAGATGAGAGTACCTTCCAGTTGGTAGACACATCCAAGGTCCAGAAGCCCATTTACCAGAGAACTAGACGATTTAACCAGGTATACCCCCATTCTCTTAAAAAAATGGTTGAATTATTGATGAGCAATTGGAATGGTCTTAAGGACTGGGAGTGAATCTCAGAAATGTTGCATTGAAGTCATTGAATAAGTTCAGATTACTAAAGATGAATTGGTGTTGAATTATTTTTGTGTCATTTCAGAATAAACTTCGTAGGGATCGTGAAAGACGACAGCAACAACAAGCCAATATGCAAGTGTTGTCTAAAACTCAGAAAAGTAGAGAAAGGTAAAATAGTCTTTTATATTCATCTGTAAATTAGTTTACAATGGTGTATGGCATATTCAGAACATTGATGGCTATATAACATCACTGAATTTGAGAAAATATACATCAAAACTCTGTAGCCTATATTTCTATTCACCTGCTATTATATATTATAGGGATAGACAAAGACAGCTCCGTAAATGGCAGAAAACATTTGGTCGCAATATGTACACAAAGCAGCAGCAGGTAAAATAGATTATCTTTCAGCGAAATATTTTGCTGTTTATATTGTTAAATGATGTGCTACATCAGCATTGTCATATATAAAATCATAGGTTAATTTAAGCTAAAGAGAATGTTATCATACCAGTGGATTTCATTTTCAAGAGATTTTGTTTATTTATAAAAAGAAAAACAATTTTCTACCTAATTGCTATGCTCTATGATATTGATATTCATGTATTTTATGAGTTCAACTGTTCCTGTACATTTAAATTGATAACTTCTGTAAACCGACCAAAATTTGTTCTAAATTAGATTCATTTTAGTCTGAATTTTAATTCTGATACTGGTAGAAATAAGACCAGTATTACATGTCTTACAGTTATGTTTGATCTGTCACACAAAAGATCAAAATAGAATCGATTGTGTAAAGGTTTTTTTTGTTTGAGATCATATGACTTATGAGATGATACACAACTTTATTATTGTGTTTATTTTAGACACCCGTGAAGCACCGTGACGCATCAGTGCAGATCAAGACTAATTGGGATGTTAAAGAAGAGATGGATTTCCCAAGACTCTCCAAACTCTCCCTCCCCAATGTAGATGAGCCTGAAGATTTGTAAGCAAATTGATAAAGTGGTGACATATTGTTATAGTCTCCACTTTTTTATGGTTGTGGTTGGTGTTCTGTGTCTGAAACAAATGGCAGGTGTTGACATTTTGCACGTAAATGCCTTGTCTATACTGGTGATTCAAACTTTCATAAATCACGCTATTAGATGAAAGATCCATAGAAAATATGTGTTGACTCTTGAGAAGCTATACTGGTAAAGTCTTTGTTGAATTTCTGTCAGATATAATAGCACTCTAACAATGTTCTTTGTCCGATCGAAAATATAATGGATTGTAATACAAGAATAAACCCCCTGTTCTGTCTGAATCGTCTATTTTATAAGATATAAGTTATGATTCTGTCATTGATTTTTACATACCTACAGTAGTCTCAACCATAGCATTGCTAATTTTTAGGTTGAAATGTGGATCTTTAGAATTCTATGAGAAGAATTATGATCGTGTGACGACCAAGAATGAGAAGCGCTTGAGGAGAATCAATCGAATCTTCCATAAGGTCACCACCACTGATGACCCTGTCATAAGAAGGGTATGTATGAGGTTTAGGATATGGGATTAAATGTATCTGGTTCCTAAAGTTTCGGTGCTGTAATCTCTTGCTTTTGAAAATGCAACTTTTTACAAAATTACTTTTAAAAATTATTTATGAAGGGTGACTCATAAGAACTTTAATTTTCTGTCTCTATATCATATCACATCTAAGAAAAAGTTGGATAATATGTAAATGTGAGGAAAACATTTTATTGGACTTGAGTTCAATATAAATATTGCATGTGTACTTCATGCTCGTTATATTCTCGTCTTCTATTTTAGCTGGCCAAGACTGAGGGTAATGTGTTTGCTACAGACACTATCCTTGCAACCCTCATGTGCTGTACTAGGTCTACATATTCCTGGGATATTGTTGTTCAAAGGGTAGCCGATAAATTGTTCTTTGATAAGAGAGATGACTCAGAATTTGGTAAGCAAATAATCTCAAAGTCAACTTCTAAATGCAATTTAAACCTTATTAGTGAAACATAACTCAGTAATTTATGACTTGCCAGTATATAATTATACAAACAATAATTCAATAACTCTTTTCTTCTGTATTTCTTCTCAGTAAGGACAATCAGAGCACAATACTGCTTGTCATTATTTTAAGGACTGTCTAATGATGTCTTCCACTTTTTTATTATTATATTAGATTTATTAACGGTAAGTGAGTACTGTGTTTCATTATTTAAAGGACTGTCTAATGTTATCATCTGCTTTTTAGATTTATTAACTGTGAGTGAAACTGCGACTGAACCACCACAAGATGAGGGTAATAGCATCAACTCCCCTCGTAATCTGGCACTGGAAGCTACCTTTATCAACCATAACTACTCTCAACAAGTCCTGAAGATGGGAGAGGAGCAGCTCGACTTTGATGAGAAGAATCCATTTGTTCAACCAGAAGATGATGGTGAAGTTGCGTCTGTAGGATATAGGTATGGAATTCAGTAGGCAGATTGTAAAAGAGAAGGGTCTAGATACCGTTACAATTGTTAATTTGAGGTATGAAGATAATGAATTGGAAACAAAAAATGCTTAAAAACTTATTAAGAAACACACACAAGTTCAAAACTTTTTGGACAACCCTTGCATAGGAATATAAAACATAGTCTCACTGGAAAGTATTTGTTATTAGGTATAGAAAATGGAAACTTGGCAATGACATTGAGCTAGTGTGTCGTACAGAACATGATGGTGTGATGTATGGACCCAATGGAGAACAGCAATTCCTCAATATAAAACATTGTCTCACTTGAAACATCTGTTTTTAGGTATAGAAAATGGAAACTGGGCAATGACATAGAGCTTGTGTGTCGTACAGAACACGATGGTGTGATGTATGGCCCCAATGGAGAACAGCAATTCCTCAATATTAAGGCACTTAATGAATGGGACCCCAAGGTAATATATTACTGTGACAATTCTTTTGTTAATAAGAGTCATATTATGTCAATTTTTTGTCAATTAAATCAAAGGAAGTCTCAGAGGCTCATCAACATTTTTTGATCAATGAAATTTGTCTCCTGGAGGTACATCCTTACCAAAAGAAAAAAGCATTAAAGAATCTCATTTGGGTCAGTTTGGTTCATTATTCCAGGCTTTTTCTCAGTGATTTAAAAAATTAAGAATGAGTAAACAACTCACATGTATGCTTACTTACTGATATCTTGATGTTGACCAATGCTATTGACCTGAATTTCTCTAATACCAATTACTAACCACATTTTCACTTCATAGTTGTATGTGTAATGGAGCATTGTGTATTCATCTTGTTTTTTTCATTCAAACAAAGTGGGAATCCAATTAGGTTCATATAAGAGTTGAATTTTATTTAAACTCATACTTGTTGCAGTTATCTGGAGGTGTTGATTGGAGGGCTAAGCTTGACAACCAAAGGGGAGCTGTCTTGGCAACCGAGTTGAAAAATAATAGCTGTAAACTGGCAAAGTGGACCTGTTGTTCACTGCTGGCTGGCTCTGACCAGCTCAAGTTTGGGTAAGTGAGCATTTGTTAAGAGTTTCAGTAGTATCAGTATTCAGTACCCTTTTAAAAGCCATTCAACCTTTACATAGTCTGAGAACAAACACTATGCAAATGCTAAAATATTTTCAAACGAAATAAACAGTTGATACTTTGGTTCTCAATTCTTAGCAATTTCACAGTGTTTTCTGTGTTATTATTTCATTTTAGTGGGGGGAATTTACCCCTATATTTGGCAGAATATTTCAGATCGTGATACAAGCATAAAGTTTTGCTTTTCTACTACTTCAAACCTTTTAAAAAAAATCTGTCCCTGTGATCAATGGATTTTTTTACTTTTTCCCCCCAAAATCCAAGATGGCCGACACACTATAGCTCTGAAAATATATTTAGCTCTGATTTGGCAAATACAGCTGAAATGTAAAGTTTAAATTGTGTTTTCAGGACTAAATGCACTAATAGGGACACCACATAATACGTGTCGTGAGCTTAAGTCAAAATAAATAATTATATGGGAGTTAAGCAAGGATCATTTCTGGCCCCCCTCTTATTTTGTTCATTTATAAGTTTGTATAACCCTACTCCTATGAATTAAACATAATTAGTAAGACTGTTCTTTAATTTTAGATTTCTATGCTCTGCTACATATCAAATTAGTTTGTATAAATGACCGTAGCCTAAAGAATTGAAGGATTTTCACAAATAAACGGTTTATCGAGTACAGACATTTACCATGCATTCACAATTACAGACTATTACAGCGACATCAGGACCACTAAAAGCAAATTCAATCATTCATTAAATTTTGGTTGAGGTTAAAAACATTAATACAGTCCATCAATGTATTCTATGCATTATTGAGTATGAATATGAAATATGTGGTTTTCCATGAGTCTTCAGTAAGGAGGAATGAAATACCAAGCAGGAAGGTGATGTGAAATTTGAGTAAGAATTTTCAAAATTTAAATCTAACAAAAATCTACCATTATTTGTAGAATTTTGATTAAATGTAAAATATTAATTCATCCCATAAATATATCTTATGCATTCTTTCACGGTGTCCAACCCAAACGCTCTTACATGCACAACGGAATGTTTCATCCATGCGGAAACCGGGCTAATGAAGATCCCACTATGACTGTAAGTATTGTTTCACTAGTTTCTCTTACATATCACGCGTTATGGTGACATATTATGTACCATTCGATGAACAATACCCTGATCAAAGCTCCGTAGTGTAGATCAAACAAATCTGAAGTTGACGAATTGACCACAAATTACGAATTAAATTAGTATTTATATGAAATTTGCTCTAAAACATAAAACTATTGAACAAAAAGTTTATATGTGAATTAATCTTTCTTCTTTTGATGCCAAAGGATACAGTAGATCTTTTCTTTCTCTCCTTGAAAAGGAAAGTTGAGCCTAGTACCGCAGTGTTTCCAGTTCACTGTGTTAACCAGATCGCAGCATTTCTTGAATATGAGAATGTCATCATTTTTAAGACTTGATTTTTTGTTATCAAATCACGATGACGATAATGTATGGTGTGATCAAGGTTTGGAATTTGACCAAAATATACTCTGATGCTCAACTCAACTAGTCGCATGTCTCGACAAACAGGGTTTTGACCGGAAGAATGACAAATACGTTTATGAATTTAGATAACTATACTGCTTAAGACAGTTCTTCCTAATTGCTTCAAACGTCAACAGCCATCCAAGTACAATATATCACACCCATCAAATGGTATACTTGAAATAAGTAACACATACTTCTTATTCCCATCATTGGGGAAATTGTCAGATGACTCATCATTTCCGTTCGCCATACTCCAGAGCGTTTCTTTGTTTAGTTTCAGTAATGAAACGCTCAATCTTGCATGTAAGAGCGTTTGTGTTGGACACCGTGTCCTTTAATTGTGAAAATCAAATATGTGGTATGTTATGACTCCTCAGTAAAGAGGAAGGGAACGATTGGAGGGAAGATAATTTAAAATTTGGGTAGGAATTTGCTAATTAGAAATTAAATCTTCCAATATTCTACAATTATTTTGAATTACTAAATTATCACAATTTCTAAATAATATTTAATGAACAATTAATTTTGGCTAAGGCCATGGATGGTTTTTTAAGAATAAACAAAAATGAATATAAAATATGGTAAAAAATCTATTCTAACATTTTGCAAACATCTGCAACAACTACATGTACTAGGGCAACAGCCCAACTCATATGTGGGTGTTTTCCATATACAGAACAAGTGAAACAATTGATAAAATACACCCAGAAAGTGCTTATTTTGCTAAAAAAGAAAGACCAATTGAGAGAATTCCACCTACTCACATGCCTTGGAATAGCACATTAAAGGAACAGCTTACCAGGCTGGTGTAGTTTGGGGACAAATGCTAAATGCTTCACCACCTGGCCTTTATGACTACATCAACTGGGGATGGGACAATAATGAAACTGTTACCCCACTGTGGACAACCAGACACAGTCCTCCAAAGCCTGCCAAGCTCTTGTACAATGTTCATATAAAAAGCTATGTTCTGTATGCACTTGTAAAAAGCCAGGACTTACATTTTGTGACAGTATTTATGAGATTGAAATTATAACAGAGTAAAAAAGATCCATGTGGAACTCCTTCAAAGGCTATTTTGTATTTGGAAGACAATAATTTAATTTGAACCTGAAATATAAGATAAAATTATGTTTGAAATATTATCTTTATTCAAGAAAACAGGTTCATTCACTTAAGTTGTTGCAAAATAAGAGCCCTCCCAAAACACTAGATGTAAACAACATGCTTTACTACTGAAACAGTATTATTTTTAAACCACATTTATCTCTATATATGAATCTACAGTGTTATTTGTACCAAATTATGCGTATATGGCGGCCATTTTGAATTTTTCTTAAAATACTGTTCGGTTTTATCGATCACAGGGATGGAATTTTTCCTAATAGCATAATAACAGATGTAAAAAGTCAGGACTTACAAATACAGACTTGTGCAATTGCACATGCAATTCTGTATAAGTCATTAACATTTTATGACAGTATATATGAGATTGTGATTATAACAGAGTAAAAAGGAACCATGTGGAACTCCTTTAAAGGCTATTTTATACTTGTAAGACAATAATTTAACTTGAACTTGAAATATTAGATTGAAAAGATGTGTGAAATATTATCTTATTCAAGAAAACAGGTTCATTCACTTCAATTGTTGCAAAATAAGAGCCCTCCCAAAATAGAACCTTGTAAAATCCCTATATAAAGTAATTTTGTCCAAATTCAAATCATTAATGAATGTGTCTGTATTTCTAGATGTAAACAACATGCTTTACTACTGAAACAGTATTATTTTTAAACCACATTTATCTCTATATATGAATCTATAGTGTTATTTGTACCAAATTATGCATATATGGCCGCCATTTTGGATTTTTCTTGAAATAGTGTTCGATTTATAGATCACAGGGATGGAATTTTTTCTAATAGCATAATAAGAGATGTAAAAAGTCAGGACTTACAAATACAGACTTCAGTTGTTGAAAAATAAGAGCCCTCCCAAAATAGAACCTTGTAGAATCCCTATATAAAATCATTTTGTCCAAATTCAAATCATTAATGAATGTGACTGTATTTCTAGATGTAAACAACATGCTTTGCTCCTGTTCCAATATTATTTTAAACCATATCTATCTCTATATATGAATCTAGAGTGTTATTTGTACCAAATTATGCCTATATGGCGGCCATCTTGAATTTTTCTCGAAATAGTGTTCGGTTTTATTGATCACAGGGATGGAATTTTTCCTAATAACATAAATAACAGATTAAGCCATTAAATTTGCTTGTATCACCAATTGAAATATTTTCCAGCAAATTCCCCCCACTATTTAGGATTTTTCTATCGTTTAAGACAAATTAAGAATAGGAAATTCCCCTGAAATTTTTTTCAAATATTTTTTATTTTTGTATTTATAGGTACATTTCAAGAGTGCACTTTAAGGATACATCTAAACATGTGATTCTGGGCACCCAGCAATTCAAACCCACCGAGTTTGCCAACCAAATTAACTTGAGTATGGATAATGGATGGGGAATCCTGCGCTGTATTATTGATGTCTGCCGGAAACTCTCTGAAGGAAAATATCTCATCATGAAAGATCCAATGAAGGTATAGAAACTAATATCCTTTAACAGCTTCCTGAGAAATTTTAATTTCAATTTTCAAATTAATGTGAAGAAACTACAACTATACCTTACTACATTCTACAACTCTTCCTGATTAATCACCAGAACATGATAGAATTTTGATCACTTTTTATGGAAAAAAAAGTTTTGCGATACAGTAAAACCCCAATCATATATGTCTTAATGCCTCTGGGACCAGCCAAAGTGTTTGGATTGACAGATGTTCATACATGTCATATTTTGAAATTTTCCGACAAAGAAGTATATGTCAGATTAAAAAATGAAATGAAAAAAACGTTAATATTGAGAGGTGTTTTGATATGTGTTTTATGATTTCTGGATCTATCGAGGCTGGTTCATAACGGTTTTATTATTTAATTTCAGCCTGTGTTGCGTATCTATGTGATTCCTGATGATACATTTGAGAGCAGTGATGATGATGAAGACGATGACAGTGAAGATGATGATGGTAAATAATATAATATGAATTGATTTATTACATAATGTAGACTCTAAACCAGAGTTCTATAGAATAGTTGATGAAATATTTGAATTGATTCATTGATGTCTGAGATAACTCAATAGTTCTTTAAAATAATGTATTGTCTTGACTGTAAAAAAAATGTAAAAAAAATCTATGTTAATTTCAGATGATGTGGATAAATAGAAGACAAAACAACTAGGTAATTGCTATCAATTGGGACACTAATCAATCTATGGAACTCAATAATTTAGAGAATAACCACCCAGCAGCAGTTGGAATCTTGTATAATCAACAACAGTATGAACATTGCAGACTTTAGAAACCATGTGTCATACTTTATATATTCCATACTTCTGTATGGATGTATTCTATGAGAAATTCTTAGGAAAATTAACCATTGGATTTTGGTAAATGTATTTATTGTATCAAGCATTTTGAAAACATGTACAACTGTAATAAGCTAATAAATTGAACAATTACAAATTGAATTTGAATTACATATTGCTTTGCGACTTTATTTCATAATACTTGTACTTGTATAATCATTCAATGTGATATGTTGTTAGATACAGTGTCACATAGTCCCTGGAAGAATGTGATGTCATCAATAGCTATGTCACTGTAGTAGTAGCTTCCCATGACACCATCAAATGCAATCTGGGAAGTATATTAGAGGTTCATGTACAACTGGTAAATCAATGTTAACAGAGACTAGTTTGTCCCGATTTCAATGTCTCAAAAGTGGAAATCAGGTTTTTGATGACTTACTGTCAATTTGATCACTAATTTATTCTCTATTGGATATTGCGTATCAATAATACTGTAATAAAGATGTCTCCACTGTTCCCATCTTGTTAAGACTGTACTGCACTTGGACATTTGAATTTTACACAGACGTCTACATAATGTTTCTTTATAACCATAGAGTCCAATAAAATGTTCAATGTACCTGGAATTCAGTCTTCGTGTCAGTGATTGGTATCTGTGCTTTATACCATACATTGCCCTGGTTGCCAGTAACCTCCCAAATGGTTGTCTCTGGTTTACCTGTCAGTCCAAGGAACACTACCTGAAATGCATAAACGGGTCTCGACACGTGTTTTGCACATCATTTTCCAGTGACATTAAGACTACATACATCTTAGCAACATATAACTGCAATTAATTTATCAACTGCAATTATTGAAAAAATGTGCTTCATGATCGTATCTTTAATAGGAAATATAGACCAAAGAGCTGGTATTATATCAATGAATAATAAATACCTAAGGGCTAGGCACATACCCTTTTGAACCCCACTCTCTTCGATCGTTTGGTGTACAGAAAACTTTTGTGCCTAGCCCTGCGGTATTTATTTGTCGTTATAATACCTGCTCTTTGGTCTATATTTTTTAATTCAAACATAAAAACTCACCAAAATTTTGCAAAATCGTCACTTCATTTCCTATTTCCTGTGCACTGAACAAAATACTTAGTTCAGACCAGATATTGTATCGACAAATAAATCAGACCAGATATTGTATCGGCGAATAAATACTGTATGAAATATTGTCTTTGTTCACACTTTGTGAAGGTGTGATACAGTCATGTTCGAATATCAATTCATGATCACTGATGATTCAATATCAACCTATCTGAGATTGCTTAGTTGCATATTTATACCAACTTACTTACAATAGAGGATGGTGTTACTTACTCTTAGGGTGCCCACAGATGACCCATACATGTGGTAGAAGAACTCAAAACAATAGTTTGACAATGCATCAATAGATGGCATAAGTGGTCCCATGATACGAGCACGTTGTCCTTCCAAAACTGGCTCAGAAGACTCAGTATACATGTAATAGCCTGTAAATAAAATTCCATGGAAAATCTATGGTTCCAACTTTTTTGTGGATGGTATTTGGAGTTGGAGTTTGGTGGTTGGCACCTGTAGCAAATGGTAGGTGGTGACATTTTGCATGATAATGCCTTGTTTGTGAAATATTGCATGAAATACAGACTATAACCATTGTAAAAGTTACCACATTGTGATATTAAGAATACCAAACAGATGTCCCCAGGTTGACAATATGGCCCCGTAATATGTTGAAGGACTTTTAACTTACCTGAGCCGGTGGTGTGATCGGCAGAGGGGCCAGTGTTTGAAGTAGGAGTGGGGCCACTGAGACGTGTCCAGTCAAAATCATCTAACACATCATTCTCCCATTCACACATTCCATTGTCAAAGTTGCAATCCATACTGGAAAGGCCTAAATTGAAACGCCTAAGGTATTATTAAACAACTCTTTTAGTCTGTTCAAATCGCTTTGTGTAAGGCTTACTTATAATTTAACAATAACTCACGTAAGTATAGTTCGAAAGAAAGCCAAGTATGTGAATGAATTACTAAGAATAGAGATACCAAATGTATGTACTACTTGTTAAACAAAGGCCGGCTTAAAAGTAACTTGTATCAGGTATAATTACGGTCTCTGGACGTATGTCTATTTGTTATTGTTACTTGTTGACACTGATACATTCAACTTGTCTAAAATTTGGTTAATTTGGCTTAAGTATTTAATATAGATAGGTTACATAACACATAAAAATATTACAGTATTACAGCACAAGAATTTTTATTTTCTCTGTAATTTATTTAGAACACAAAAACACAAAATTAAAATGAGTACTAAAGAATTTGTTACAGTAAATTCAAAGACCTGGTTCAGGTTCTGAAGTGGTAGGAACACAAGGCCCATCAAACATGTTAAAGTCATCTATGGCGATATCTCCTTCATAGTCCACTCCACGAACACCTTCAAACACTAACTGCAATTTAAATACAAAATATATTGTTTTATTATCATGAAAAATGCTGCATAATCCAGTTCCTGTTCTGTCTATTTATAGGCAATCAATAATGCACTTTGCATAGCGTAGTGAGGGAGGAAATGATGAACTTATACAGAAGATCTAGTCATATTAAACAGTTCATATGCAATTCAAGTTTTATCATGACAACAGGGTACTACAGCAAAAAGATTAGTTAGAGACTGTATATTTTATACTGTATGTTAGAGCACATTTTAATTATTTCAATGGAAATTGTATCTCCAATTCTAAAAGATATTCACAAAAATTTGACTATATACACATGCAAGCAAGCTCGCATAAAATGCAAACATTGTCACTCACCATAAACTTCGTATTTGAGACTATTTCCATGCTCTCAGATTTCAGCCATGAATTAGCAATCTCACCACTGAGGTTCCACAGTAAGCTATCTGTACCATTACTACGGAGGTACACATTCAGCTGTCCTATGTCTCGACCATACATGTGGTAGTACCATGATGCACATTTGGTCGCTGGCTGAAAATTGAACTGATTAAATTAACCTTTTGGGGCTCATTTTAGAAAACAAATACATATTTTAATCTCATTTTCCAATTGTTTTTTACTCTACACAAGGTTAAGATAAAACTTTAAGTTCTGTATGGGCTAAGCCTTGAATTTCACTCAACTGTTCATAATTAACCAGCCAATCTCAAGCATATGAGACTATTAGCAACTAGTGATATAATCCATGTGTTGGAGTTGACCTACCTGAAAGACTGGAGTAATGAGACGTGCATCATCTCCAAGGATTCTGGGAGAAGAGCTCTCAATAAACATGTACCTGCCTGAAATAAAAATACCACTATTAGTCAAATATTCATAATTCATGTTTTGAATGTCTTATGTTGATGATAAAATGGAATTGTGGAAGAGCAATGTGATCATTTATCTATTTATACAGATTTCTAGACTTAAAAATAAATTGAAAATATGAACTAGCTTTGGTCTTGCTTTTCTAGAACCTGGAGTTGTCTCATAGGCAATCAAATATTAGCATTTCAGTGACAATAAGTTAAATGTTCTAAAGGTGTGCAGAGATACACACGGATCTGACATCTCGATTTAAGCTTTGTTCACCAAGCAATGAGGCATTAACATGCAAAATGCCACCTGCCATGTGTTACACATGCTGACTGTTGAACACAAACTGCCAAACACCATCCACAAAAAAGTTTAAAACTGTAACAATTTGTAACACCTCTGGAGGTGACATAATAAATACTGACCATAAGTGCAATTCAGCCGATCACAGTCAGGTCCAGTTTTTGATGTAGGTGTAGATCCCAACTGATTGGTCCAATCAAACTCCTCGTTCCCTTCCTGTAGCCAATCAGAACACAGTCCAGAGTCAAAATTGCAAGTGTGGCTTACTAGCATGGGGCCTGAAGAACAAATTAAATGCACCTAGTACTCCAATTTGAAAACATTACACTAGTGGAAGGAAACAATGCTATTATACCCAGGCCAAATATCCATGAAATAGCTACTTTCACAAACCCAGAAATCCAGCCTAAAAATATGATTAACTGTGAAATCATGGTACAAAACATTTAATCTTTTACCATGCCATGTTTTGTATCAAATCTTGAAAATCTGTTGTATGTTTGTCTTCTCTCATATGGAGTTTGGGGTTCTAAGCTACATAATGAAATGATTTTAAAAGAAAGAAATGAACTTTGATCATTCATTCATCAAAAAGTGATTACTTTAAGAATTTAGTGTTGTGATTACCTTGGTCTTTGAGGAACACTGGACTTTGAACATTCTGTAGGGCAGTACATTCTCCCACCATCAGGTCATCAATGGCCATATCACTGAGGTAATCAACACCCCTTATACCTCCAAACTCTATCTAGAGGCAAGAAAATACATATATATCATCTTAGTATTATATTTCAAATATGGGCCATCGGATAGATTATTTTCCTGTTTTTCAGTAAGAGGAAAGTGATTACATATAGATATCAATGCAGTCCAGACTTTAATTCTGAAACGAAGGGATCCCTATGAAACACCATGCCCATGATATAAATAATACTGGCAAAACCAAATCTTAATAAACTGACCTGTATCTGACCCTCCTATGTATAATGAATGTATAAAATGAATGTATAATACATAATGTCTTACCTGGAAGTTATTAGTGACAGATAAAGCAATTATTTCCTCATGCCAGGTACGTCCTGTCTGCCCTACCAGTTGTAAGAGATTTACATCACTTTGCCCAGATTCTCTAAGTATCACATTCATAGCACCCATGTCAGCACCATAACGATGGTAGAGAAACCTACAGAAACATTAAATACAAGATAGATTTCCATATTTTTGTGAGTGTGAAATATTGAAAGCAATATTTTCACAAACAATGCGAATGTTCCAAATTTTGTTATTATCAATTTAGAAATCTGACTGAATATGAAGTTATGGAAGATCTAAGGTGCAGAGATGCATAATTTGAAACCACTTCAAAACTACATGTATTGCCAAATCAAAAGGTTATCATGAAATTAAGTCATCACTGTTGGAAAATAGGCATGATGTGCTTTATTGTACTCGAACTAAAAAATTGTATTTATAGACAGTTTACTCTACCAATACTGGAACTATTGCCTCACAAATAAGAGTTTTTTCTCAATTTTGGATAATCTCACTTGAGGAACCACTTTCTCAGATGGAAAATTAATGATAATATTACCAATGTAATTCCTTATAATATGAATGTATGGTAGGCTATGGGGTTGTTACTGAGACTTACTTGAGGCAGGTAGCACCAGTTGGGATAGATGGCTGAAATACTGGTGAGATTAACACTGCTCTCATTCCCTCCACTACTGGAGTAGAAGCTTCCAAGTAGAGATAGTAGCCTAGAATATATAACGCAGTAGTCTAGAATACACAACATAGAACAACTCACTTACTTTAGACAAGTGCTAGAAGCTGAAGGCTGGAATGGTGAAGATATAAGTCTGGCCCTCATTCCTTCAATAACAGGTGTGGATGCTTCAAGGTAGAGGTAGTAACCTGCAATAACCATGTGACTGAAATATGGCTTATTCCACACACAAAATGCATAGCAAGATAGCAGGTGTTCTTTTATAAGCACATAAGTTAGATAAGAACTTGCACATCAACTTGAGTACTTAGACCATGATACAAACATATTCCAAAACTTTTAAACTAGAGTGTCATTCTACCTGATGAAGTTTCCAATGTGTTATCATTGTCAGGTCCAGTGTCACTTGTCACAGTTGTGCCACTATTCCAGGACCAGGGGATGTCAGCAGATGGGTCCTGGGACCAACCACACAAATCAGAGCTGTCCAAGTTGCAATAGTGGAATGTGCCACCTGGATTACAATTGAAGAAAACATAAGAACACAAAGACAGAAAACACATACGGTACAAACAAAAACATCAAAAGAAATCATCAAACACACAAAAGAGTGTCAAATGACCCCCTCTACTTGAACCAGTATTATATAATATTACATTAACAATTCAGAACCCCAAAAACCGTGGCTTATTTGAACACACAAACAAACACATGTCAAAGTGAGAGAAAGAGACTGACTCACGTACTCACACACTGTGCAGTTGAGCCACTCCAGCGACCTGTGTTTTCACATACTCTTGTAGAGCTGAATACCAAGGTATATCCAGTGTTACAGGAGTAGCTAACAGATTGGCCCACTCTGAAGTCTTCCCCAGTTCTTGCACCATTTGCTGGTGTGCCTGGATCTAGACAGCTTACTATGTCTGTAGATAGAAAATTATTTAATTGCTTCATTATCATTATCATGAAATGTGCAGTAAAATACCTATTGTGTCTTCATAGACATAAGTAAACAGAAAAAATTATTTTACATTTTTGTTACAAATACATATCCATATCACAACCCCCTTTTCCCCAAAACCATTACTTGTTAAAACTAGTAATGGAGGTTTTCCATTTTTTTCATTTTCAACATTATGTACTGTTCACCATCAACATGATCAAAGTAATGTTTTAAAGTAGGCAGATTAGAAAAACTTAAACCCTTTGCATTTAGGGTCACATACTGATGTCATGTGATAACAAAAGTTACCCTTCTAGACCCCCCTTAACAACCAGATAGATACGTACCACAGCTGTACAATGCATTTATCTTATACACATCAATGCTACTCAGGCCCACCCTCTGTCCAATTGATATGCTGCGATCTTTAGGGAGAATTGTATTCAGGTTAGACGCTCTGGCAAACATGTCCTTTTTGTAGTGCATGACTGAGTCATAATCATAATTGGCTCCTAAGTCATCTATGATCTCTTTTGAATACTTGTCAAAGTTGTGCTTGTAACCTACAATGAAACTGAAATGTTTATGGACTGATATTGCTTTTGAAGTCTAATACATATAACATTTTGTAACAGAGAGGAATCTTTGATGAAACTTTTGAGTTTGTAATATAGCTACTTTGGTTTTGATGACTGGTACACATGAACAGGCCTGTAGCCAGCATTTGCCAAGGAGGTTCACTTTTTTAACTGGAGTGTCACATTTGACAACTTTGCTCAAAAATGGCCAAAATCACTTGAAAAGGGCTTGATGTAAATCTAACAAAAGTTTCCTACCATCTTGTACATTATCAATGAAGATATCTACATAGTTGTCTCTATCAGTTCTGCTATGTTCATGAAAGAAACCAAGACTGTGTAGTAACTCGTGTATGATGGTCCCCTTGTCCTGGCAGTCGGAGTCAAGCGAGATCTCCTGCATACCCCCCTGACGCCCAATTGCACTCCAACACCTACAGAATTTCAATTTTGAAAATTATATCATCCTGTTTCTGTATTGTCCCAGATGGTTATGTTTTAGGGTGAATCATTTAACCACTTTAAATCACTTTATCTTAAACCCTCAAGTTAAGCAATTTGCCTCAACCCACCAGTAATTTGCCTCTACTTACCCATCTAACATCTTGATATGTATGTAATCAGCCTCAGAGTCCCTAGCCTTGAATGTCACACAAGTAGCTGACTGTATATCTGACATGGCTCCAGATATCTGGCTTAACATGGGATCAACTGAAAGTAATAGAAGCAAAGACATTATTCAATATTCATATATTCATCGCCCTTCATAATTAACAAAGCTGTCAATTTTTGAAAAGGTTACATTTTTGTATCACCCTGTATACCTTAACCTATTAAACATTAAAATCAATTTTTTATCATATACAGATCATTCATTAAGTAATTGATGCTATTTAAAACTCTTGATGATTTTGCTAATATTTGGCATTGTAGCAGTTGTCATGGTAATTTGAAGTTGGATTCAGCAGAGCAAATCATCACCTCACAAATGATAAAGAAAAGCAATCATTTTAGCAATCATTTTGAATTTACCTATGGCAGAGTCTATGACATATGGCACAGTTCTAGATGACCACACCTTGGTCTTGTCTGCAACAGCATTCCTTTTCTACAACACAATTTTTAATATTAAAGTAAGGAAAAGGTGTAAAGACTCCCACACATATGTATTAGACGTCAAAACCACACATTGCCAAAAGATAGCTCTGATATCAAAAGGTTTTTGTATTTTGCCGCTCCCTGCATGACTTTATAGAGCAAGTTCTCTATTGGGGTACTGCACCATAAAGAGTTCAGTGTGGAAGAGCCCTCTATTGGAAAGATCCAATATAATTGAATGGTTACGACTGTAGATTTCTCGTGTTCTTTAATTAAGCTGTGTGTCATTAACAGACACTTCGTAAAGCTATGAATTCGTAAATCAATTGTTGTAACCATGGATAAAATGACATCACAGTTAGAGAACAATGGATTTTACAAATTCCTAACTTTACAAAGTTTCTGTTAATGGCCCCCTGACACAAGTCTTACCTGCTTTGAAAGAAGAATGTCTCCTTCAATAAGCTCGACATTTGTCACATCTGAAAAACATTGAGAAATGTTATTTCAGTTGTATTTAATAATACATACTGAAGATGCAAGTTTGAAAGACCAGTAAATATACCATTAAATTACATAGTGTGTATAATTATAAAACAATCCAGATTCCGATTATTAAAATCATGTCCTCAAACTGTAAACAAGGACATTGTGTTCTACTTGGGAGATGTTTGACTTATAGAGATTATATAAGTTTAAATCAAGTAGAGAGAAGAAGGAATAGAGATGAGTCGAGAGTCAGTTTCGAAAAATTCCAATTCTGCATCTTCTTATATTTCTATAGGCTATTTCATCTGACATCTGAATTTTATTTTCAGAAAAAATGATCGAGGATTCTAAGAGTAACACACTGTACTTTTGAAAATATATCCAATGTTTTTCACTCTCTATCCCTTTTAATTCCTTTAATTAAGTGAATATTTAGCATACCTCTGTTTTCCTCTGGGTAGCCATGCCAACCATCACTTTCATACTGCAGGTCTTTGAATATGTTATTCTCCTGTATGGATATATCATACAATAATGTTCATACAATTAGAAAGCATGGATCACGTTATGAACAGTAAAACAAAAAATCACAAAACATAAATCTTGATGTAAAAAAAAAACTCTCCTATCTATATTAAATTGTGCATAGAAATGAGGGGTGCCCACTGGGAAGATGTTTTGTAAGGTACTGTAGTTTTTGACTCAATAGGCAGGTTATAAGCATCTTAAATCTTTTATATTTGATCAGATAACTCAATTTCTCTTCAGATAATAAGAGAAGGTATGTAAGGGAAATATTGGCATGGTTTTTGAAAAGATTCAATCAAACATTTCATGAAGCCTATCCCATCTAATTCTTAAACAGTCATTTGGAACAGTGGATTCCATAAAATACACAAAATTAATATATTTTAGATCATCTTTACTCACCTTACGTGAAGAACAAACTGTGGAAAGATAAAAGTATAAAAGAAATCCACACTTCTTCAACATATTGCCTGTAAAAGAGTTAATTACCCAGAATCCACCATTGTGATTATTTCATCAACTGTCCAATCAGGTAGCTGTTTATTTGCAGTATGGTAGCTTGAGGTTATGGGATTGGCAATTTAATATATATTTTCAGTAACCAGTCAAGTTAATGATATTACAAATTCAACTGAAGTGTTGATATATTTTTCAATGGCATGACCTCAAATACTAAGAAATGTTATAGTTTTTAATCAAATACATGATTACAACGCAAGTCATAATCGTGTACTGTAAAACCTGTTTAGTTTATTACATGTTAAATTCACTATAATATTTTGCTGATGGTTTCTATTGACAAGTAACAGTAATTAAGCCAAAGCTTAGTAACTTCACAAACAAATGAGAGGTTTCCTTCCAAGACAAATAACACAGTTTGTCCTAATAGGGTAACATCATACCATTTGAAAGGAGAGATTGTCAGCTTGATCACTTGAAAAGTTTACATACAATATGCCTTAGTATACTCACACTTCAAAATCCATTTTCTTGTAATGGTCATTTTTAAGTCAAAGATCATCTTGAAAAAATCTACCTCGACTCCTTATCCAATTCATGGAAAAAGATCTCATTTTCAATCAAAACAAAATGCACTGCCCCCTGGTCATGAAAGGACAGTTTAATCAGCTTTGTAACTTGCAAGCTTTTGTCATGTAATATAATGAAGATCAAAGGTATAGCGTCATAATGTGCGATTTAAATGATAATCAGTTACCTGAAGAATAAAAGTGAAACCGGTAGTGAGTGAATTACTTCTTCTGTTATTTTCTGTTTTTATAATCATTTTTTATATATATATATATCTTTATTCTGACACTCTCCCATTTCTAATAGTCTAATGGCATATTCAAAACCCTGGGACAGATGACATCATTCTTTACACCCTTGTTTCTCAATTATGGGCTAGATTCCAAAAGAAGCAATATTTACATAATGCAGAATCAATGATATTAAATATGTAAATCCAACAAGTTTTACAGTATAAATATATAATCAGTTTGTACTGATAAGGTCATATTCAAGCCACTATGGGAAACTTTTGATTTTTATCAGCTAATGCAGATGGTGAAATTGTCAAGATTGGGAGAGGCTGTATTCAATACTTAACGCAATGTTGCAATGTTTGACATCATTTAGTGTTGTTATTGCTGCTCCTTATATCATAGGATTCTTATTTCCATTATAGTCCTCACTGAACTGTTTGACATCACTTAGTGTCGTTATTACTGCTCCTTACACCCTAGGATTCTTATTTCCATTATAGTCCTCACTGAACTGTTTGACATCATTTAGTGTCGTTATTGCTGCTCCTTACATCGTAGGATTCTTATTTCCAAAATCCCCACTGAACTTCTTTCTTTAATTGTGTTATCTAGCATCAGTTGTGAGCTTTTAACACCTTCACCATTTTCAAAGTAAACCAGATCCAACAATTTTCAGGGAAATTTGATTTGCACTTTAATTTTCCTTATTACACAAGTTTTAAAGCAGGTTTCAACTGAAAATGATATCTTATTTTGAAGTTACTTCTAAAATAATATAGTATCATAGGGATTACGATATCCAAAAAGCGCTTGTACCTACTCATTACTGAGATAATAGACATTTCTGATAAATGGTACCATCTTTTGATCTTTCAGAGAAACTATAATACTGTAATATATTGGCTTGATTGATGATGTCATGCAACATTTTTCAAATCAGTCCTTACTGCAAGATTTCATTCTGTGTTTTCATTAACCAATGATGTCATAGGTTGTACTTTTTCAAAATTAGCAACAATTAACCCTATTTTTACATAGATATATCGCAACCTCCTACAACCAATGATATCATCGATCCAGTCAATATATCATATTGCTTCTCCGATGAATCAAAAGATGGCACAGTTTGACGGAAATGTCTATTGCATATTCAGGAATGTGCCATGGGATTCAATGCATTCATTGAAGTATTTCTGCTCATTTCAAGACAAATTAAAACTCTCAGGGAAGGTAATTGCAAGCAATAGAGAAGTTCACTTTGATGCGGAACTACCCGGCCCCATGGATGTCCTCGGTGAATGCCTTTGATGTTGTTTTCGCCTCATATTTTAGACTATTGAAGTTCTCAGCAAAACACTTTAGGACTTAATTTTTTGGAGTATTTCAAATATTCGTTAGATGTGAATTGAAGGCAAACCTGGGAGATAGGAATCAATAGGAGGTGCTACATTCCAAAGAGGTCTTCACATTTACTTAATTCTATTAGCTTACTTCGTTTTCAATGTGAAGTATATGCAATATGCATATGCAACAGACAGAGGTATTCACATTTACTTAATTCAATTAGCTTATTTCGTTTTCCACGAAACAAATTTCAACATGAACAAATATCAATCTATAGTGTTACACACCCATATTTATTCAACCAGAACAACCTTATGAGTACAGATGTGAATGTACAAGACTACAGAATTATTCTTATGTCACTTACTAGGCTATAAGTGCTGTTGAGTCACACAAAAAACATTTTGCTTTTCAAACTGGCAATTCTGCCTAAAACAATAAATACAAGTGTAAAGAGGAGACATTCAGAATTGTATGAATCATCACCAAATCATTTTTCAATATAGTCATTATTTGCACCCGTTTAAAAATGATTCAAGGATAAAATGCTTGATTTCTTGTCTAATGTATGACTACAGTCCAGTTTTGGATTTGATATGATGCTTTACGTCTGTTTGATGGAAATGTCTAAAAATCCTGAACGAAATAATTGTCCTAATATTAAATATTGTTATATCTTTGCAGGGAATATACCAGCTTCCATTTGTTCATCCCATTTAGATGTCTGAAAGGAAAAAATAAACTTAACTATAATCATAACTAACTACCTAGGCATGCAGTTCAATCAAATGTACAGCATCAAGGAAACATTGCAATGAATTTGATGCACTTCTGGTAGAAATGGAAATGCTGGTGCATTTAGATGTGTGATAACTAAACCATATGCAAAGTGAGTGCATGCCATGTGTTTTCAACATAATCAAATGTGCAGTTGTGATGGACTAGGCATGTAAAGATACAATTTCAATCTCCCGCAATAAAACTCAATCTAATATTGTCAAAATGTCCATAATTCCAGAGCAATGAAGCATATAAAGCAATGTGCACACTGATATGTTTTGTTTCTAGACTGTATATGTGGAAAAACAAAACTTATGACATATGTTTTATAACCAAAAATCAGAATTTTGAAGATAAGAAATGATATACTGTTGTAAATGATGAAAACTAGTTATGTGTATGAGCAGAACATGATATTCATAGTTGGTTTTTGTTCAGGTTTTCTCATCCTTTACCATATCCATATGGTTTCCCTCCACTCACTTCTCATATAGATATATTCAACTGTAGAACTAGAACACTGAACAATTTATCCTATAATCATGCAAAGAAATATATTTTCAAACAGATAAATCATTCAAACAAATGTGGCCATTACAACTGATGAAATTATCACAAAATGTTTTAAGTAACATGTACTTCAAATAATTCAATATCAATTATGATACTTACCCAGCCAACGGGACACAAAGTCTTGTATACTTTGAAGAAATAAGTGCATGGTTCATAATCTTCGCCCTTGATCTTCTGGCATCTATGGAAATCTACATAGTTTTGCCAGCAGTTCCTGTAAACAAATAGTATTTTTAGACACATTTTTTGTGACCCGACCTGAGGCTTCTGACCTGAGATTTGAGTTGGTGTGACACCTCAAATTATTGGTTCATAAAAAATATCCAAATTCACATTTAAGACTATCCTAAACCTGAAAGCAGAAGTGATAATAACAACTAACTCATGCTTTTAGTCAATGAAATTTCTCACCTAGTCTGGTTCTGGTTTGGAAATCGTGAGTCAAAGGGAGCGGTCTTCAGGTTGGTGTATTCACCATCGGTATCTGCTACTCCAGCCATTAGTGCAGCTGCCATTTAGTTTATATCTAAATTATAAGAGACAAGGTATAAATAAAAATGTTAAATTTCCAGTCATGCAAATAATGATATCCCCCTTCAGTTTCATACAAATACAATAGCTAGAGTGGACTAAAGCTTTGACTATTTAGTTAATTAGTTCTAATCACATGCATGCCGCATACAATATGACTCTTAACCTTACTTGGTAAGTACTCAAAATAATTTCCAGACTTGATGGTGGACATTTTCGAATACTGACAGATTTATAGATTGAAGTACAGTACTGTGGATACACTTAATTTTGCTACTGTTATAATTTGACGGATTGGCTGATAAAAAAAATCCATCAAATTAAAAATCCGCCAATTTTCAGATCTATTTTAGAAAATCCCCATGGGAAATTGTAATTTGCAATTATTGCACTTGTGTAAGTATTTCTATCTGGATGTCCGTGCTATACCAAGACTTACTGCAAGTAGAACATATGAATCTGAAGTTCTTATTTCCAGATCAATGGTAAAACTTGAGCTCAGTCCTGACTCTGCCAAATTAAGTAGCATCAAATTAGTATATCTACAGTATACACCTCTGCAATTTGAGACAGCCAAAACTTTTTAGGCTTTAATAGAATAATTATTCTGGTGTTAAGAATCTTGAGGTAAGAAATGTGTGCATACATGTAGCTAGCGCCATTATTTTTCGACTTTTGAAATATAATGTAGGCCCCCATTGTGTACACATAAGACAAATAGTTAAAGATGGGATTAAATAAGCGGTGAGACCCAAGTTCTTTGTGAGAAAAATTGTGTCAAATCTCCCAAAGAACCTAGATTGATGTGTACATTCTCTCCAGTACCAAAACTTACAATTGAAATGTAACATAGGCAATCAGTCCTCAACAACTTCACTTCGGGGTAAACTATAGACTATATCCTATTTAGTCTGAATAATATTCAGACTATAAGGCACCTGTGTTAAAGTTTGGTAATTCTAAATATTTGTTTACATAGGAAGTGCTATTCAAAATGGCCGATTGGGTAAAATTAATTTGCACATTTATTACTTCATCTAGCTTTATTTCCACTTGATAATAAGCTGTGTTACTTTTTATTGCATTCAATTGTACCTTACTATTCAGTTGAAATTTTGTAATGTTTATTTTATTGAAGAAATGGTTCCTCTAATTGATAATTTTGTGCAAAAAATTTCACTGCAATTTCCATAGGAAAGTAGTACATCATAACAGACTGACTTCTAGTCAGTCTGTTGGATACATACTAGGGTAAACTATAGGTAAAAGTGTAAGGGGAAGGGTGTAACGTCGACACCATTTTGGGATAACTTCGACATGTGGGGTATCTTCAACACCTTGTTGTTCAGTTGCTCAAATTTAGTTGCTCTAGAGGGAAACCATGTTTTTTTTTCTTGCATGGATCAAGATCTCGTTGGACTTTAATTTTTCCAGAAATCAAACATGGCAGAAAATATAAATTCTATTTATAAACGGTAAGTGTCGAAATTACCCTGTCTCTCATGTCGACATTACCCCACATGTCGATGTTATACCCCTTTGCCCTAGTACTCAATACAGATCATAGGGTCAACATTCCCATGTTGAGGAAAACTGAAGGGTGGTCAATGACATTTTTAAAATTTTCAAGTTTGGTATCTTTCCTCGAGGAATCATTGCTGAGATACTGATACGATTATAAAGGATGTTAGTATTATAATCTGCCTGGAAAACCTGCATTTCTGCAGGACATGACAAAATTCATGATTTTTATTTTTTTGAAAAAAAAACATTTTTGTAGATATTGATCTGAATTGGATGGAATGTGAGAGGTAAGAAGCAGATTGTTAGTTTCAAATGAAAGATACATTCTTCCCAAAACAGTGTGACACAATCTAGCTATTTATGGTACCACAATCCCTTCAAAATACCAAAAAATAAACGAAAAATTTCTGACCTTCAGCCTTGAATTCAAGATGGCGTTGGGGTATTCGTAATGAGGAGCAATTGATAGGTACCCTCTTAGAGGCATTACAGATAATCTTATTTCTAATGTTTAAGCAATTAATTCTCGATTATGACACTATATGGTAATATATATTGGCATAATTGTCGATTTGACTGCCTATTAATAATGTCATATCCGGATAATTAGGAGAGAAATGTGAAAACAAGACTACCATATTAAGGCGCCATCTATAATAATTTTCCCGGGAAATTTAAAAGTTTCAATTTGTGGTGTGCTTATTAAAAATAACACATCAATTTAGCCAAATCAAATACCTTATTATTTGAATCATATTGCATATCTTACTACAATTAGATGCAAAAATACTTGCTTTGAACAAATTGACTTTTTGCAGCTATTCTAAGGAGGCCTTTCTACAATAAATTTGGCGACGAAAAAGATTACCCCAAATTGAACTTCTCAAGAAAAACACTCCAAACTTATTATTTTCAACTTATTGGTCTTTTATTCAAACGAGACGTTGAATTATAAAGATGGTCAACCTTGGAAAGCCGCAGAAATCAAGAAAGCACAAGAAACTGAAGCCAATAGATCCCAAATATTTAGATGAGGATAGAAAAAGGTATGAACATGTTCAAAATATTATATTATCGCCCACATCACCATCAGAAACTGATATGAGATGTACAGTATGCATACAAAGGAGTTATAATGACAAAGCGCGCTGAGCGCTTTTATGATGTCCGATAACCAAAGATCAAGAGGTCATAAAGCTAATTTCAGTTAAAAATTATTGACATTTTTCATAGATGCAGCTCTCTGTGCATAGATGTTGTCCAGATCGTTTTGCATTAATCTATGATCTCATTAACCAAACCCGTCTGACCTTACTCACGTCGAGAGCTACCATGTTAGATTTTGAAAGTATAGCTCTCCATCGGGAGGATCTCCCAGCTGAAGAATTGTGACATCTAAATTTGATCAGCGCCAGTCAGCGGCTTGCTGTTTGTCTCAAACTGTAGCCTACATATGGGCTCATATGTGTCTACTTTCCCCGTGCATGTAGGATCGCGGATGTGCTTCTATGGCGATCAGGAGTTCTAATCGTTTTTTGTTCGATACCCATTTCCAATATGGCGGTTAAACGGAAATACTATTGACGCATGCGCAACTTGGGAAACGTCAAGCCGCCATATTGAATATACCTGGCCGAAACTTTTGACACGACCAATAAAATGAAGTCCTGATCGATACATAGGGCAGTGAGACGTTCTATAGTTGAGCTGAATGAAAGATGGCGATGTAGGATACATTTTCAGGTATATAATGTGCAACATGAGTCAGCTGAATTCCCTGAAATTTTCTTTGAAGTCAGGATTCTTAAGCTGTTGATTCTAGCGATAGAGAGCTATACTTTCAAAATCTAAGTAGCTCTCGACGGGAGTAAGTCTGGCCCAGTTATCTACTCTCGATATCGTAGTTCTGGGCCAGACAAGCTCCAATGCAAAAAATGGGGTATTTACTCTGGAAAAAACACACTGGTTTTTCAATGTATAATACGTGCTGATAAATGAATAAACATCATAAAAGTCACTTACGTGTTTGTTCCTTGTATCAAACTTTGTATTTATATTAGGTTTCCATCGCTGGATGACGGCTAATAAATAAGAACAAAACGATTAAACGCAGCAAAAAGAAAAATTCTTCTGCAATCTGTTCGTGATCTCGTAGAATATCGAGAAGTCTCGGCTGCATATTTCGTTCAGTACTACATTCGGTCAGTTCAACAAATTGAAAAATCGTATTTAATGTCCACCATATTTCTTTCTTGTCTAAATACAACACAGATACGTCTGTTTTATAAAGTAATCTACGTTTTGATAAGAAATCTGCTGAACAAATCGTAATATTTGGAATGTATTGATTCCCGGGAAATGTATTTTCGTTCCATGAAAGTTTAAAAATTATCGCATCACATTTGTGTTACGTCACATCACGTGACTTTATTCGGTGCGGAGAACTGACGAAATATTGACGAAATGTTGTGCCCATTTCAACATCAAAATAACAAACAAAACACCACATTTACGTGTAAGTTATGTACTCTTTATTTCAAATAAATACTTGGGTTTACATGTAGCCCGATGTTTTGGTTGGATGGCTAATAGGGAATGAATAATAAGTGATGATTCAGCGACATGTTTTTTCCAGAGTAAATCCCCCCTTTTTAGCATTGGACCTCGTCTGGCCCAGATCTACGAGGTCAGGAGTAGATAACTGGGCCAGACGGGTTTGGTTATGATCTCATAGGCTCAAAGAATAATTCAGAAGATGCGTCACTAAATTGGAAAATTTGAGAAAAAAGTGACCACCTTTCAAAACTTTCCTTATACAAAATCGTACCTGCTTCCCCTAACAGATTTTGCACTTATTTATAGATAAGATCTTTATCTTTCTATTTCTACTTGTTTGGTTCGAGAGAATAACCTATGGACGCAGTAATTTAACTTTTAATACAGCAAATATTTTTCACTTGATCTGGTATTGGGGTTTGCTGTTACTGAATCTCTTTTTGAATCACTCTTAGCTGTTATTGGCCGATAACCCAGTTTTCCCGCTTAATTTTTTTAGATGGGAAGGTAACATCACTCAAAAACTTCAAGAATATCAGAAAAAATCCTTTATTGAGTATATTATTAATGCTGCATTTAACGCTTATTCTCCGTTAAGCATGATTTTTGAGGTGTCATAATATTAATTTTTCGACCTCAATCAAAATCTAGCTCTACTTAATTCATGGATGGCTATGGTCTGTGGATGAAAAATGCCAAGTTTCACCAGCCTCGTATCAAAATTGGAGAAGTTATGACGCATTGTATAAACAGTTTGCTGTAACACACATTTAATTTACGAACCTAATTTACGGGACACCTCTAAATGCTAAAATGACAAATATTGTACATTCATGCGGTCCTAACTTCGACCGTTAATTTGAATTTTTGACCTACCAGATGCTTGAAAATCAAGGATTAGTTAGAAGGCCTTCTTACAGCTGGGGACTAAAATGCCGCTGGAAGTAGGGACTCTGTTTGAGAGAATAATGAACCATCTGAAAGGGATTTTTATTATGCTTTGAACGGAACAAGTTTGAAGAAAAACGGTGCAGTATGAGACTCGTAATCCTTGATTTTCAAACATCTGGTAGGTCAAAAATTCAAAGTAACAGTCGAAGTTAGGACCGCGTGACATTACTTACTTATTTCCTCGGTTGCATATCGATCTCATGGTCCTAACAAGTAAATTGATATAAAAATCTAAGTTAATTTTCGTATTTTCAAAAAGCATGTGTCCCGTAAATTAATCTCGTAAATTAATTCAGGCTTTCAACTAATTATAACACAAGAAATATGAAACCATGATCGGGAATATAGCTGGTTTTAAACCGACCGACCCATCATGCCTAAATATCTGCTGTATTAGATTTATCATAATATGTCTGCATGTTCTTTTAAAATGGCAGTCCCGTAAATTAGGGCCAAAATTTCCATTCTAGAATCCATAAGTTGGACTAGAATTTCTGATTACATGGACCCTTTGTCATAAAAAAGCCTCGTTTGTTGGATCAGTTATCAATATGTGATTAGTTTGCGATCAATAACTTGTTGATAAGAAGCTTACATAATGAGACCAGGATGAAGTGTCAAAGTCTGACTCAGAAATTAGATACAACTGAGTGACAGAATTCAAAGTTAAATTTTTGAAAGACTAAAAGATGGATCGTGAGGTTAGGTATTTTTTATGAAAGTAGATACCAGGTCGTTCAATAAGTTCCCGGAAAAATGCTCTCATTTCAAAGATTTTTGATATTTTCTGATGAAATTTTCACACTATGTACAAAAAATACTCTCTGATTGATTCCAGTAATATCAGCATCTCTTATTTGATTGGTCAAAAATAAGGGTTACTATGGTAACTTGAATTTTGGGTAGAAAGCGGCCATTTTTGAAAAAATGTTGTTTTATGAAGTTTGCTTTTACTAAAATCATAGTGATGCAATTTTGTAAAGCCATGGTCGTTTGATGGATTTGTCACGCCTTGGCATTGCTATTGTCTAGTGTGGTCTTATAGAGGCCTGCATTGACCATAGAACTAGTGAACTTATAATAGTGTCACTTGATGTCCTCCATGGTAGTCCCTGAATGTGTTTCGCAAAAATGTCTAAATTTGTGTTAACAACTCTTTTTCAGTAAAAACAGACATATTAGGAAATTTGTATCTCCGGATGAAAAACTAGAAAGTAAGAAAAAACATGGCCGTGGTTATATGCAGATTAACTCTGCACCAAAGAGCCTTGAAGACCAAGAAGTCTCTAAGAGCATGATGAATCTCATAAAACTAAAAGCAGATCCATTTGCATTCAAGAAAAAGAAACAGAAAAATAAATTCAAAGGTAATGTCAACAACCACAATGCGATGTTCTATTATTAATACTCCATTCAACTGGTATAATGGCAAATGATTACACTTTACAATAGGTTTATGGAACATACAACTGGTAGATATACTCGGAAGCTTGCATAGAAATTACACCTCACTGTCTGAAAAGATCTTTAACACCATGGCATTTTTTGTTGGTAGTTAAACAAAAAACTTGATACATGTAATATCAGCTATGAATAAGTAACAGTAACAGTGCAGTGATTAACCTATCAGATGTGTAGCTGATTTCTTTGTGACAAAATTTCTAGTTGGATTAAATCAAAAGATTAAGATCATTTAAAATAATAATTTTGCTATATTTTAGATGGAGTGGCAAATGAGAAACTTGAGAAAGGTATGACACGTCCAATAGAACCAGTCCCAGAGTTTGTACAGCGTAAGGGGGAGAATGACCACCAGTTCCACAACAGAATCGATAGGACAGTTCAGATGGTCATTTCAAAATCAAAGTTTGATGACAAATTTAATAGAGTTGAAGAGGTATATTTGATGCTTATTCTGTGTATAAAACTGTATCGAATTGAATTGAATGGTAATTAAATCATATTGGTCCTTTTTGACAGGCAATGAAATATTGCCTCAGCCTATCGTCAGACTTTTCCCTGACCCATTTAAACATTCCAGATAGATAGCTGTATTTATGGAATAAACAGGTTATTTTCTGACAGGATTTTATTATTAGAAGATAATTGAATCCAAAGCATTTAAATTCAGATTAATTATGTCGCCATTTTGATTTTTCCTTTGAATAAATTAATTTTTAATTTTGATAAATACATGTATTTTTTGATTTTGCACTGTCTTGCATAAAGCCCCTGTACTTCACCCAACCTCTCCTGAGCACTCTCTAGGCTACATGAGAAAGAGAATGAGGTTGAGGAAGGGAGGGGGTATAAAGATAAGAGACTTGGTGAAAAATTAGTTATTGTAAAATGCATCATTTTTATTTCAGAAAGTTCTTGACCCAAAAGTGGAGAAGAAAATTAAGAAAAAACAAAAGAAGCGTTTAGAAAGAAAACAAGAGTAAGTAGTTACTTAATTGCATCATGTTTATTTTTGAAAAAATTAAGTTAAATCTGATTATGCAAATTACACAACAAATATGGTGGTTAAGAAAATACCATACAATAAGAAATTAAATACATGTACTGTAATCCTGGATATCACATTTCCAAAGAAAATGTAAATTTTATTTAAATAACAATATATTAAAAAACATTTTTAAACGTGCATGATTAATACTAGTAAGGGTTGATTTGTTTGTTCTTCCAGGAAAAATGAATTGAAAAAAGAAAAATTGAAGGAAGTTAAGGAATATAGAAAAGACAAGAAACGAACAGGATGGGAAAATCTCCATGGTAACACAATAATTATTCCATGTTATTCTGTTTAATTTGCTTGCTTTTGTTTCATGAAAACTGTGCACCAGATCTACGTCACATCCTCTTGCTGCTTGAGATTAATAGATTTAACAAATTGTTTTCACTCCCAATTTTAGAAACAAATATTTAAACCAAACAGATTAACTGGATGCATATTTAGTATGAAATTATTTTAATTAAATTATTTTAAACTAAATTTTCAATGCTTTGAAATAATTTTAATACATGTACTTATTCCAACTCTCAAGATTGTTTTTTTGCGCAAAAACAAGTTTTACACGACATACGTCCAAATTGCCTATAAAAACTATTTTCCAAATGATTTCAGATAAAGTGGAGTTTGGAGAAGTGGCCATGGCACCTCCAACGTTAACAGCCAAACCTCGCAAAATTTCAAAGAAATCAGATAGACCTGGTAATAAAGACTTGCTCCTGAAGAAACAATTAGCAGACACACAGACAAAAACATTTTTAAAACAAAGAGAGATAGGAAAGACATTGAAGAGAAAGACTTTGCCAGTTGGGATGCAAAGAAAGCAAGACATTGAGAGAGAAAATGCTATCAGGCAGTACAGGGAGTTACAAAAAGCTAAAAGAAACCACTAGTTTTCCAATAGAAAGAAAGTTGATTTATCATAATGTACTTCACTTATACAGACATCACAATGCTGTTAAAAGTATTTATTTTATTGTTGGATATTGTATATTCGTATAATATACGTATATATATCAATGTATGAAAGAAAATATTAAAATTGGAATAAAAATATCAAATTCAATAAAGAGAATTATTATGTGATTAATATAAGTATTCTTTTAACTTTACAGCAGTTAATTCTTTATGAATTTCAGGTGGGAGCAAAGAATAAGTATAAAATGTTGGAAGCAATATTTTCAAAAAGCATACTTATTTTATTATTGGAAAAAGATTCGAGATATATCAAATGTATAAGTTCGTTCACATTACTCCTTACTCCATTACATTTTCCCCAAATTTTGCAAAAGTTGTCACGTTGAACTGTACCCATATGCTCCCTTGTTTGTGAAAATGTGAAATTGATTGTGATTGGTTGCTTGAAATTGGTTGTGATTGTATGTAAGAATATACCATTAGTTGCGATGAGATGTAAGAATATACCATTGGTTGTGATGAAATGCAAGAATATACCATTGGTAGCGATGAGATGTAAGAATAAACCATTGGTTTTGATGAAATGCAAGAATATACCATTGGTTGCGATGAAATGTAAGAACATACCATCCATTGTTATGATATGTAAGAATATACCATTGTTTGTGATGAGATGTAAGAATATACGTTTGGTTGTGATTGTATGTAAGAATATACCATTGGTTGTGATGAGATGTAAGAATATACCATTTGTTGTGATGATATGCAAGAATATACCATTGGTTGTGATGAGATGTAAGAATATACGTTTGGTTGTGATTGTATGTAAGAATATACCATTGGTTGTGATGAGATGTAAGAATATACCATTTGTTGTGATGATATGCAAGAATATACCATTGGTTGTGATGAGATGTAAGAATATAGCATTGGTTGTGATGAGATGTAAGAATATACCATTGGTTGTGATGAGATGTAAGAATATACCATTGGTTGTGATGAGAATGAGATTGGTTATTGGTTGTGATTGTATGCAAGAACATGTAAATTTGATTGTGATGAGAATGAGATGTAAGAATATATCATTGGCTGTGATGATATGTAAGAATATACCATTGGTTGTGATGAGGTGTAAAATATAGTATTGTTATTGGTCTAGAATAAAGTTTTGTTTGTGATGATGAGAGAGGACGAAGTTCATGGCGATACCAAAATTGCATAATTCAAACACAGAATATTAGATGTATAACATCCCTGGATTGCTCTGAAAGTACTTTTCAGTATTGTCCCTGCAACTGGAAGAATAGAAGATAATCAGGTACTTCTATTTCATGAACACTTGTATAGATGTCAGGACCAGAGCATATTTTATCATTGCGCATGCGTGAAGAATCGACAACTTCCTGTTGACATTTTTTATCAAAATCTGTGTTTGTTTTCCATACTTTCCTCCAAACTGTACGATGTAGGATTTATAAATCCCGAATCGCAAATTCGATCATATGAACAATACTCCAAGGTATGTGCATACGGACTCTTGAGAAACACAGATCAATTATACAGTTCCAAATCAGTGTTTGAATGCGAAGCCAAATTCTGAAATTGATCTCTTGACTTGAGTCAGTGAGTGGATTGATTTTTGCTAATTTTATATGGGTAACGATTTTATGAAAAGTGTTCATATTAAGAAGCTAGGCAGGTATATATTTCAAATATGACTTCACTGTCCAAATTGGGAGGTGCTCATGTTTCAAAGTTTCTTGGGGAGGAAAAACTTGGACCAAAAAAGGTGTATTCGGAAAATATTCATGTAGAAGCTGCCTGAATCCCAAGAAGCATAAGTTTACCATATAAAACTAATTATATGAAATATACAAAAGTTCCAAAGTGGGAATGCTTATGACCCTCGATACCAAGTCGCTTCTACAGTCTCAGCTGTAGTGGCTAGCCCTTATGGCTCAGGAGTAGAGTCAGGCTTGTGAGTAAAGGGTCCTAGATTCAGTTCTCGTACAGGGCATTTAATTTAGTACACTCCCTTTATATGTCTATTATCAGCAGCTGGAAGTTCGGACCTCTTACTACCGAAATTGTGACGCTATAAAGGAGTCTGTATTCCTCCAATATGTGGTAAAACAAGTAGTGGTGAAGCCATAAAGTTACCACTACCAGTCAAGAATTGCAAGAATTCCATCCAGCTAAGAAGAATTGTACATGCACCCCCTCCCCCCAAAAAAACTACTTTGGACAAAAACTGTGTTTGTTTTTTTTGCAGAAATAGCAAGCGGCCTAGAATGGACGACTGCATGATGAGTATGACAAGTAACCCAGAGGGGCAGATCTCCAGTGCAGGGACCAGCAGGTATATTTAACTCAAGTTTAGTTTCTGTAATTCAGTATTGGCATTCTATGCCTGTAGGAAAGTTTTCTAAGGGAGTCTGTATGATTTTTTGGTGGCAATAATAACCGTCTTAAAGTGAATTTTTAATAAAGTGAATTTTTGAATAATGTATAGCCATAGAGATGGATGCTTTTATCCCCTAAATGTTTTACATACTTTTACAAAATGTTTACTTGTAAATAGCTCCAGGTTGGAAATGACAGAGGCTGATTCAATGAGAATGATGGAAGCCACAGGAGGGGAGCCCAAGCTGTACAAACACCCAGACCACACACATAAAGCATATGATGTCTTACACATGATGAGAAGGTACAAGGGAATTTCTCAAAATATTAGTGCCTGCCAAATAGCAAGATTCGCAAACTCAACCTAATCTTTTCCTTAAAAACAAAACCTAACATTGATCATATCTTTAATCTGACATATGAAAATCAATGTTACCAACCAAATAAAACTTAATCTGAACTAAAAGTCATAGCCCTCCCATTCCAAAGTAATTGATATTTGGTTGGGTGGACACTGATATTTTGATGCACATTCCTAGTCATCTTTATACCATTAATATGCAAGATTACAATGTCAAATTATTATTACTCTTTATTTCACATGTATTTTTTTAGATCTCCTTTTACATAATCGAAATGTACAATAGGCTATAAAACATGTTTATGTACATCATGGAATTTTATCTCTTACCATGTTACAGATCGGGAATGTTATGTGACGTTACACTTATTGCTGATGGTATGCAGATTCCTGCCCATAGAGCAGTCCTCGCATCTTGCAGTCCTTACTTCTATGCTATGTTCACAGGGGAACTTGCAGAGTCTAAGGCAGACAAAGTCAAACTGCAAGAAATAGATGCTAAGGCGCTGTCTTTACTTATTGATTTCATGTACTCATCAGAAATACAAGTTTCAGAGTCTAATGTTCAGGTAAGACTGTGAATGCTTTAGATTTTATAATTTGTGCAACAGTGAACTGCCAAAGTCTTAAATTCATACCCACCTCTCTTTGCTGTGTTGTATGGTGAGCCTAGCTAAAGGATTTTTGGACCTGTTTAACGTCATCAGTATTCAAGCGAAGACTTGACTGGCTTACTAAGTGAAGCAGCTTTTCATAGATCTTATATGTATTTATACTTCATGTTTAAGTAAATAGTTAGATATGCTAAATATGTACAGCGATCAGGGTTATCAGATTTTATGAAATTACTGTATGGTGGAGGAGTTCAAAATGAAAAAAATACATTTATTTTAGAAAGATTTGTGAATGTTGCTGTTGAGTTATTATCAAGATTATCACTGTGATCAAGTACTAACTTGATACTAACATAGTCATCGATTTGTCTAATTATATCTCGATTAGAAGTTTCAATTTCATGAATTATTTCATGAGTCTGAGGACTATTTTCACAATTGATATCCAGAATTTTATTGCCAAACCTGACTTCAGATGCATAACTTCACTCACATTCACTTCGGCCTTAAAGCCAAACATGCTCCACACCATCATGTTTAAGCATTTAAGCTGAACCTTTCGTCTGCCATATTTACTCTTAAAATGTGGAGGAAAGTAATGTATAAATAAACATTCATAAAAAATGATCCTTTAAGATCTAAGTGCACCATTAGGGCCCAGGGCAGTAAATCTGAGGCCCTTGTCAGTGAGGCTAATACCCATAGCCCTGGGATTATGGCCACCCTAATGCGGATATACCTTAACATGTTCAAAACATTCAAAGAACATCAAATCAACCATCTATTGCAAAATAAAAGGAGCAAAAAGTGTTTCAAAAATGTTCATGGAAAATTGGTGAGAAAAATGACCAAAGGACAATCAGTGGTTAGTTTTTATCAAACTTTGATGAAATGTTCTTCATCTTGTGCTGATAGATGTGCGGGTATGTGTCTGTGGATGTGTGGATGCCACGACTAAATTGATTACTAACTTTAAATCACAAGGATTACCAGATTCTAAAAATTCCCCCTAGTGATTGATGCCAAATAGATGGAAGATGAAACAAAAAGTGTATGTTGATCTATAGAGATGAGATAATAAATAGGAAAATGCATGCTTTAATATAAGATTATAGCTTTTAAGTAACCTAGAATCATTGGGAGAGTATAAATGAAAATATGAACTATATGGCAATTATATAAGAATGTGATTTGTGATGTCTGAACTAATGCTCGTATCCATTTTATTGGGATGTCATTTACACCATTGGCCCCAGTCCCTACTTTTCTCATCTTAGAGAAATCAGCTTTATCGTCAATATATCATTTTTCACAATGTGAATGAATGTTGTTATATCATGTTTTCAAGCTCAAATTGATTGTACAAATTACAAACCATTTCATTCATGATCTCTTCTCCTATGGTTTAATCATATCTTATTTTCATTATGTGATGTAAACTGAGGTACTTCATATTTCAAAGTTTCTGATAACATTGGTGATGTTGAATAATTATAGTTTTCTCTTTATTTTGGGTATATTTTATTCCAATATAGAAAAAAGAATCAGCACTTTCATTAGAATATCTGATAACAAGTAATAGGATTGCAAATATCTGGAACAATTATTGAAATCAAAATTTCTGAAAAACAACAGGTACCTTTGGTAAACACATCTTTGAGAATTTCCTGTTGCCAACTGCTAAATATGATAGCCCTTTAGATTGATGTTCGTACAAAATAACATCACATTGACAGTCGTGTGATTATAATTGTTGTTAATATGTTATTTGCTTGATTGGTACAGAACCAACAAAAAGTTCTAAAAAGCAAGCCTCTATTCTTACTATTGAAAATGGATTGTAGCAATACTATCCGACATGAATGTACTTGTTATCAACTTGAGTTCTTCTGAGATAATGAGAATTTCAGCAAGGGTGCATTGAGGGGGATATACACCATTAACTAATGACTTAGCATAGGGATATCATCATGTATGTCACCATGAGGAGAGATACAACATCCTCAATAACTCAGAATAACTCCAGTTTATTCAGTCTCAACAAGTTCATTCACGTGGAAGAGTATTGGTAGAATCTATTTTATGAAATGGATTCCAGATAGGAAATAAAAGCTTGCTAAAGCCTTTTTTGGAATTTTTGATTAGCTTTAATATGGAAATGCTAGTTAAACAAAAAAGTTTTTAATAATTTGTTCACCTCTCTGTATCCAATAACAAGCATATTTTAAATTCAGATGTTGAATGAATACACCATTAACTAATGACTTAGCATAGGGATATCATTATGTATGTCACCATTAAGAGAGATAAAACATCCTCAGTAACTCAGAATAACTCAAATTTATTCAGTCTCAACAAGTTCATTCATGTGGGTAGGGGTTCTTAAGTTAAACAAAAAAGTTTGTAATTATTTGTTCACCTCTCTGTATCCAATAACAAGCACATTTTAAATTCAGTTGTTGAATTAATAGTAAACTGACATTTTTCAGGCCCTTCTTCCAGCAGCAAACATTCTCCAGTTAGTAGAAGTACGAGATAATTGCTGCGA